TAGCTCCTAAGAAACTCATCAACAAAATTGTGTATAATGTAAGATTATAAGGACATAAATATAAAGCAATCCCCTCTTTCCTTAGGCACAATTTTTGGGCCAAAGAAATAGTTTTAAGAATGTTTATTAAGGGCTGGGGATTTAGCTCAGTGGTGCCACTGCCTGCCTCGAAAGCACAAAGTTCTGAGTTTGATCCCCAGTACGGCAAAAAAAAAAAAAAAAAAATTTATTGAATTCATCTTTGAAACAGCAGAAACTGTAAGAAACAATTGAAAAACCAACAATAAATTATAATATCTGAACAATGAATGGTACTTCAAGAAATAATTAAAATTATACTGACCTATATTTATTGGCATTTAATGAGCTCACTGATGTTAAGTGACAACAAAACAGGCTACCAGTCCCTAGAGTATGATCCTGTATTGTTAAGAGGGTTATTTTACGTAGAAGAGAAACCAGACTTTTCTTTCCTCACAGAGTAGGGATTAAACATCTGCACACTAAAAACCCAGAGTCCCTCCCAGGGACGTGGTGCAACGTGACTGGAAAGAAACACCTGACACCTGACTTCTCTCTGGGGCAAGAAAGGAATAGACATACATCCAACGGCTTTGACTTTCTGGGATGCATCCTCAAGGACTGGCTTCTGTAGTGTCTAAGTCAAAGCAGAGACACTGGCAGAGCACCAAGTTTGGGCCAAGAACAAGAAGCATCAATTAGCACCAGAGGCTGCAGTACCATGGACAGACACTAGGGAGAGCGCCAGCATTACTGCTTACTACAACTCAGAGAGGCCACAGTACTGCAGACAGACACCAGAGGAACAAGGCCTCAAAAAACTGCAGAGGGGGCTGGGGATTTAGCTTAGTGGTTCCGGTGCCAGCCTGGCAAGTGCAAGGTCCCGAGTTCGATCCCCGGTACCAAAAAATAAAACTGCAGAGGACACCAAGATCTCCCTAGGATGAATGGAAGAAGTCCTTCCAATACACCAGGGTACAAAGACTAGTAGAGGTGGCTGACTTCAAACACCAAAATCCCAACAATCACAACAAAAAAGAAAAAAGAAACAAAAATATGGTATATCCAAAGGAACATATTAAATCTCCAGAGTCCAACTCCCTAAAACTGGAGATATATAATTACTAAAGAATTCAAAATAACTGTCATAAGACTTAGTGAACTAAGAAAAAGAGCACAAAAATGTGAACAAAATCAGGAAAATGAACATGAATAAAGTGAAAATAATAACGGAGAGATTAAAAATATGAAGAAGAATCACAAAAACTGGAACCAAAGAATACAAAACCTGAATGGAAATTTCATTAGAGGGACTGAACAGCAGGTCTGGCCATGCAGAAAAAGAATCACCAAACAGGAAGACAGAACTTTCAAAATTAATGGTGCAGCTGAGAAAAATAAAGACAGCCTAAGGGACCTACAGATACCATAAAGCAAAATAACACACATACTGTAAGACTTCAAGAAGAAAAAAAGTCTATTTAAAGAAATAAAATTGAAAACTTCCCCCATTTAGAAAGAAAAATGGGACACACAAATTCAAGGAGCTCAAAGAATTCCATTATGACAAATCTAAGAGATCTACATCAAGAAACATGATAATGAGGCTGTTAAAGTCTCAGACCAAGAAAAAAATCTCAGAAGCAGCAAAAGAAAAGGGACCCATCACATACAAGGGAGTTCCTATTAGGTTATCAGCATATTTTTCAGCAGAAACTTTCCAGGCTAGAAGGGAGTAGGATGGTATATTCAAAATACAAACCAAGACAATCTATCAACCAAGAATACTATGCTTACCAAAGCTGTCATTCAAAAACAAAAGAGAAATTAAGACTTTGTTGCATAAACAGAAGTTTAGTGAGTTCAGTGTTTGCCTTATTCCCAGAGACCTTCAACTTGAAGTGAAAGGAAAGAGCAACAAAAAAATCATACCAAAAAAACCCTTCAAAACTCTGTTACCTGTAAATACACAAATGTAGAACCCTGTAGTAAGGAAATGCAGGTGCATAAACTTTTAAATCTGGTATAGAATTTTAAAAACCAAAAGCATGAGAGAATTATAAATCTATGTTAATAGATATGGAATATAAAGAGGTAACTGTGTCATTAATAACAAAAATGGGGACAAAGAAATGTAAAAATGTAGAGAATTCTTACAGGAATGAATTAAATTATCAATTTTAAATAGACATCACTTTAAGATTCTTTATGTAACTGCAATATCACCAACATCTACAGACTATACACAAAAGGAATCAGATGAGAATCAAAATATATCACTATTAAATATCATCAAAACACAAAAGAAGGCAAACAATATTTTTACAATTAACAAAATTGATAAAACAATTTTTGAACAGATTTAATATTAAAATGTCAACAGTACCCAAAGTAATCTACATATTTAATGCAATTTCTACCAAAATTCCTATGGTTTCCAAACAATCATACAGAATCTCAAAGAACACAAAGAGGCAAACAATTCTAAAAAAATTCACTTTCAACATACTACAAATTCATTCATTGTTGTGTTGGTAAAAGGACAGATGCACAGACCAATCAGAGTAGGAAGCTCAGAAATAAACTGCTGCACATATGGTGAAATGATTTTTCAAGGGATGCCAAAAATATACAGTGTAGAAAGACAGTCTCTTCAACAAATGATGTTGGGAAAATGGGATATTCACATGCAAAAGAAGACAGATGCATACTTTATTCCATATACAAAAATTAACTAAAGTATACTAAAGATCTAAACCAAAGAGTTAAAATTATAAAACTCCTAGAAGAAAAGTTTCAGAATATTGGATTTGATGTCATAAATATAACAAAAGCAAAAATAAATGAGAGCTAAAAACTTGAAAACTTTTCTACATCAAAGGAAATAATACAGTAAAAAGGCAATGTACAGAATTGGAGAAAATACAACAAATCAAATAACCCAAGTGAAAAATGGAGCCAGGCATGGGGTACATGCCTGTAATCTCAGCACTCTAGGAGGCTGAGGCAGGGGGATCACAAATTTGAGCCCAGCCTGGGGAATTTAGTATCTTAGCAAGATCCTGTCTCAAAATAAATTTAAAAACAAATTCAAATAGCTCAGTGAAAAGACCCTGGTTCAACTCTCAGTATTACAAGAAAAGGAAAGAAAAATGGGCAAAGCACTTAAACATTTCTCCAAAGAAGATACACAAATGGCAAATGAGCACATGAAATGATGTTCAACATCAATCATCATAAATGAGAATCAGAACCACAATGAGATGTCACACCACACCCATTAGGAAGACCTTACTAAAAACTCAAAAAACAGGGCCGGGGATTTAGCTCAGTGGTTTCACCACCTGCTGTGCAAGCACAAGGACCCGAGTTCAATCCCTGGTACCAAAAAAACCCCTCAAAAAACAACAAGTGTTGACAAGAAGGCAGAGAAAATGGAATATCTATGCATGGTTGGCAGGAGTGTAAAATGACAACTACTGTGAAAAACAGTATGAAGACTCCTCAAAAAATCAGAAATAAAACTATCTGATCCACAACTCCACTTCTAAGAATCTATCCAAAAGAATTCCATGCAGTGTATCAGAGAGGTATGTGTACGTCATGTTCATCACAGCATTATTCACAACAGGCAAGAGCTGGGAGCAACTACATGTCCATCAATATATGAATTAATAAGAAAGTGTGGTATAAAAATGCAGCTTTTAAAAAGGGGAACCTGTTACATCCTACTACATAGATGAACCTTGAGGATATTATGATAAGCAAAATACATCAGTTACAAATGGACAAATAATGTACGTTTCCACTTATATCTACTACCTAAAATAGTCAAAATCATAAAAACGTAGAGGATGGTAACTAAGGACATAGGAGAGGTGGTAGGAGGAGAAGCGAATGTTTAATGGGCACAGTGTTTCAATTTTTCAAAATGAAAATAGTAGAGACCTGTGCAACAACAATATAAATATAATTAACACTACTGAACTGCACACTGAAATAGTTAAGATGGTAAATTTAATGTTATGTGATTTTTATAATAAAAAGGGTATTGTATTAAATGATTTACAATGCATAACATGTAAATCATAAAGAACAACATTGGCATGTGGGGTAAGCTGCAATGAACACAAACTCGTTGGTGCTGTCCTTCAGTGTCACAGGCTGACCTTGCTTAAGGAAAGTTCTCTTCCTTGTCCATACCCCAGCCTTAATTTCCCAATCCGCGTCCTTCCTATGTACCACAAGAAAGGATTCAGTCTTCATTCATTCTCTCCCAGGAGAGAAAGTGAAATCAAATTTCTAAAGCAACACAACTACACTTTCATGTTCTCTACACAAGTCCTTAAGTATAATGCATCTATATATTGGCTCAATCATAATAATATTGGGATATCCAAAAATAAAATGCTTTCCTGATTATTCAGATATTGAAATAAGACACTAAAAGGTGTTTAAAGACAACATGCCACCTAAATCTAGAGGATGATGTGTTTACATGCAAAGCTTAGACACTGTTACACATGCTATTGTTCTGCTTCTCACCACAGTTCCCACCCTGGGGATGTAGTGAACATCACTGGCTGCTATGGTCAACATCCTGAATGTCCTAGGCTTCTCTCTCTGAGGACAGAAGTGCCTTTCAGCAGAGGTCTTCAGGTCACTGAGGGCACGCCTGGCCTAGAAGAGCATGGTGAGAGCCCAACCCTCTCTTCTGTCCCCTTCCATCCTTGGCATAAGGAGAGCAGCTCTGCCCCTCAACAGGCTCACACCACAGTGTGTGGCCTCACCACAGGCCCAACTGGCGGAAGACGGGACAGAGGCCTCAGAGCCACCTTTCATCACCAGGGAGGCCCAGCTCTCTGAGCTGCAGATCTGAGGAGCAGTTGTGCTCTCAAAAGTTCCTCGTTTAGTGAAAATACACCCTTGCTAGTAGTTTTTCTTTAGAAGTGTGAAAAACACAAAAGCAGAGTGCTTACCTGAATGTAATACATGCCTTTCTCCTGAGCATACATCATGAGAAAACAGTAATCAAGGTTCTGTTTTGTTCTCCATCTGAAAGAGTTTCCAAACACAGGTCAGAGACCAATGCAACAGTGTACATAAGTTTAGCTGTAGAAACTCCAGTGTCTGTCAAAAACACACATGCGTGTGCAGAGTGGCAAAGCAAATTCACTTTTCCCTAATGAAGCCTTTATCAAAATGTACTCCTGAGAGGGGCCAGGGATTTAGCTCAGTGGTTTCGCTGCCTACTGTGCAAGTGCAAGGACCCGTGTTCGATCCCTGGTACCAAAAAAAAAAAAAATTGTACTCCTGAGAATACTAACCCTCAAGGTGCCCCAGGGAAAAGTCTTGGGTCAATCAAGTTTGTAAAACACTGGCTGCCATCTCAGCTCAGAGACACGCTCATATTAGTGCATTAGAGGTGCTAATACGTCTAGCAGCAAGGACATTCATTGGTGGAGAGAAAAAATGTAACTCAATATTTTTCAAACTTCTTTCAAAGGAGGGCTTTTTTGCAGAAACATCTTAATTAATGTCTTACTGAACTAGGGCTCTGAAAATTATACTTTAGGGGCTGGGCATGTTGTCACCTAGCTCTCTTCCTAGAACTCCAGGAGGCTGAGGCAGGAGGATCACAAGTTTGAGCCCAGCCTGGACAATTTAGTAAATCAGTGAAACCCTGTCTTCAAGGGGTGGGGCATATAGTTCAGTGTGAAGGCCCTGGATGCAATCCCCAGTACTGTGGAGAAAAAAGGGAGGGAAGAAGGGAGGAAGGAAAGAAAGGAAGGAGGGAGGGAGAGAAAGAAAAGGAAAGAGGGAAGAAAGGAAAGAAAGGAGTTAGGGAGGGAGGAGACAGAACAAAATTATATTTGAGGGAACACTCTTCTGGGGTCTAGGAATGTGCTTCACATACAGCTAGAGATTAATAAGTATGAATTGGATCCTGAAGAAAAACAACATATTTAAATTTACATCAAGTCCTTTCAGTGAACTCCTGATCACCTATAGAAACACACTTATTAATGCTGAATAAAAGAAGAGGTTCTAAAAGCCAGTTTAAGGGAAACAATAAAAGAAAAGCCCCTATTAAGTTGTCCCTCCTACTAAGAAAACTCTAGAGAGTGTGTCTCACATGCTGGCCCGAGCTTAATGAGAATGCCTAGAGTGTTTCTCCAGTTCAGTCCTAAATACCCTAAGCTTTGGTAAACAAGAGCTACTTTTATGAGATAGTCCTTACCTTACTCTTTCTTGAGAGTCCCCAAATGTTTCCTTCAAGTTTGTCAGGTCAGGGTAGTAGCTTTCAGGAGGTGAGATGACTTCCACCAAGCCAGAATTGATCTCTTTAGAAAATCTACAGGAGAAAGGGTAGCTGAGTCATTTACTTCTCTGAATACTCATTTTACTGTATTTAAAGTTAAAACATCATAAGCCTGTGTGAGGAGGTCCAACATCATGGTCACAATGTGGGAAATGACACTGACTTTATTTACTGGAAAACAGACTGCTCTAATAGCATAAGATTTTTGGCTTTTTATTTCTTTTTTTAAAATAACACTTTTTAAAAACAGCATAAAATGCTGTCATCCTTAAAGCAGCACAGAAACCTGGGCAAACTGCAGGCATTACATTCCTGAAAGGAATCAGAACTTTAACAATAAATTACAGTCTCACAGAAAATAAGGAATTTTTAAAAAGGAAATAAATGGATTTGTGTGGTGATCTAAATACATGATTTATGCAAAATTCAAAGTTCCTTCATTCTCAGGAAGCTTTAGTTACACACTGTGCTGACACAGAGCTTCTCGGCTGGAGACATCCCACCAGCAGTCTCCACCCCGAGCAACGCCACTTCCATCCAGTGTAGCCCCATTAAACATTCCACTCTGCATGCACAGAATTGTCTGGCCCAAAATGTCAGGAGTGTGGAGGCTGCAGACCCTTTGCTAAGCTCCTCACATTAATCTGTGCTGATGCAAATGTACTGGAGCTTCTTTCACGAGTACAAGCTGGTAGAACCTAGAGTAGTTGGTTAAAACTAGAGTAGGAAAACAATTTTTGCTTTTGTCTTTTCTTTTTAAAGAGAAAGAATGTCTTTAGCTTGACGTGGTGGCACACACCTGTGATCCCAGCACTCTGGGAGGCTAAGGCAAGAAAGAGGATCACAAATTCAAGCCCAGACTGGGCAAACAGTTTGCAAGATCCTGTCTCACAAATAAGAGCCAGCTAAGAATGTAGCTCAGTGTGAAGGCCCTTGGTTCAATTCCCAGTACTGCAAAAACAGTGGGGGGGGGGGAGAGGTGGGATGGAAGGAGAAGGAGGAGAAGGAGGAGAAGGAGGAGGAGGAGGAGGAGGAGGAGGAGGAGGAGGAGGAGGAGGAGGAAGAAAACGTATGTTATCTTTTAGAGGCAAAACCAGGTACAAGTTAATGAAGAAAGCTGTATGGAAACTTTTTTTTTTTTTTTTTTTTGAGACAGGGTCTCCCTATGCAGTTCAGGCTGGCCTTGAGCTCACTAGCTCACTATGTAGCCCAGGCTGGCCTTGAACTTACGGTGATCCTCCTGCCTCAGCCTCCCAAGGGCTGGGATTATAGGCATGCGCCACCATGGCCATCTGGAGACTAATTTTTATAATATCACTACCAAAAGTACTAAGGCAATATTGTCAAAAGTGCTAATATGTGAAATTTCCTAATCTTCCCTCTATTATCTGCTTTGTGCCCTGCTCACAGTAAACCAGTATTCAAACTTCACGGAGCAGAACAGATTTAGACACAGTTTAGCACGGAGATTTGAAACACCTGCATGATTTTCTATCCTGACAGCAGAAACATTTTTGCTTGGTAAACAGAGGTTGAAAAAATGTAAACGATCCCATATAACTATGTTATATTCACTGCCTTCAAAAATAAAGATGATGACAGTGTTATATACATATGACATTTAAATCTTTTCTACAGTGAAATATACCAATTTATCCCACTCGATAACTGGATTTATATGCATTTACTTTATACAATGTAAAAGATAATGCCAGGTAATGAACAATGAATTCCACAAAGAAATGAACTGCAAAGCAAGGCACTTTCTTTTAGCAAAAAGCAAAGTGAAAATAGCAACTAAAATATTTCCATTCCCATAATGAAGAAGGACTTACTCTTTCTCCAGGTTGGCCACAACACTGTGTACATAATCAATATCTGTCTGGGAGAGAAAAAAAAATTAAATGTACATTTGTGGTTTTGTTTTCTAATTTAATTCTAAACTCAAAGTTAAATGGTAAAATGTGCATTTAATTGTGACTTACTGGTGACTTACTGGATTTGCATTTCTGTATCCATTGTACTCAATTCCATTGCAGATTTCTAAGTTTTTATTTTCTTATTTATTTTTTGGTACTGGGGATCAAACCCCAGTCCTTGTGATTGCGAGGCAGGTGACAAAACCACTGAGCTAAATCCCTGGCTCTAAGTTTTTATTTTCAATTGGAGATTTCTAAGTTTTTATTTTCAATTGTCACTAGGAAAGCTGAGCACAAAGATTACTTCCACTTCTTTGGAAACATCCAAACTCTAAATGGTGAGCACCAGATGCAGGATACTACTGAGAAAGATTTTCCCACTTAGATTCAAAACTCAGGTTCAGGATTTGCTTCTGTAGCTACTGGACTGCAGAATCTGAAGCCACTTCTCTGAGCTTCAATTTCCAATTCTATTTTTAAAAAAATGTTTAAAGGTGGGAGAAAAATAAGATCTCAGAGACTATGAGATTAAATGATAAAAAGTGTCTGCATTGGATTGTTCTGGGTACCCTCTGAAGAAAGCAAACCTATGACTGAACCAAAAGCAGGCGGCCACCTGAACCCCCTGGGAACTCTCCCTGCCCCTCTTCCACTCATTAGCAGCAAAGACAGGTGATTGCTGAGCTCTTGGGACTTATTTACTTTAAGACAACAAGTTTTCTTCAGGTTATTTTTAAAAAGGTTTGTAGAGACTCTAAAAGGTAATGTTGTCACCCAATTCTGAGAATAGATCTATTAATCTAAAACTGGGATATGTATATTCACAGGGAGGGAAACAATGTGTGAGAAGGAAAGTAGACACTGAAAAAGCAAAACAAGAAAGAACATTTTCTCCTAGGGAATAAGTGTTCTTAATGTTTAAATAAAATTAAATATTTTTATTAAAACTGAGAAATTGTTGATATAGCTATGATATGGATGAACCTTGAAAATATTATGTTAAATCAAAGAAGCCAGTTGCAAAAGACCACATATTGTATGGCTGCATTTATATGAGATTCCAAAAATGAAAATCTACAGGAACTGAAAGTAGATTAGCAGTTGCCTAGGGATGGGGAGAATAGGGAGGTTAATGCATAATGGCTAACAGTTTCTTTTTAGAGTGACGAAAATTTCCTAAAATTGGCTGAGGTGATGGTTGCATGACTGACTTTGGATGTGTGAACTGTATATGAATTACAAACAAAACAAAGACATAATAAAGTTTTTTAAAACTCCAAGTATCACAGATTGTACATATGAACTATGGAAGGACAAGATCATAGGTTCTCTTAGGGTTCTAGGTGGAAAAATTAAGTATAAAAGTGGGCCCAACGGAAATGAGGTTAGTAAGATGGTGGAATCAGAAGTCTAAGGCTCCACTTACACGAGCAAAGTTCAACTAGCAAATCCCACAGACTAGAACATCTTCTTGAAAATGTTAACGTCTGGAAACAGGCCTGAGACACCAAGAAGGATAAGAAGAATGTCTTACTACTACTGTGCCTCTGAGTTCCCCCAAGTGGTACAATCATGTAGAGAAAACTTCCCCTGGACCATGGTTTCTACACGGGGGAAAGAGAATTGGAAAGAATGACCCAGATTCCCGAGACATATCCTAGGAAGCCCACTCTAGTCCCACACATCATGGGGAACACCATGGGTTATGACACAACTAGACCACCAAGGACAAAGAAAAACAAAGAAGGCAGAGGTTACAATGACCATCATACCTTAGTGGCTCCTCTGCATTCCTGCCCGCTGTAACACCTGATCAGAGATAAGAGCTAACCATAATCTATCCACAAAGCTGGACTGATCACCTTCAGAAACACAGTGCTAAGTTAAATTCAGCTTGAATCTGTAAACAGCTAATCTCCATGCCCAGCCTCAGAGCCCAGTTCAATGGCCCTGGCCATGACAATGACACCCAGAGAGGCTCTTTCAAGAAGAATATCGGCTAGAACTGTTTGATCAAGAAGGCTACCAGAGGCTCCCCTCAGCCCAATGACTCCCTCAAAAACTATGCCTAGGTAGGGATTCCCACCTTGAACATTCCAGAGAAACTTGGGGCTAGAACAGGAAGTCAAGCAAAAGCCCATCCCATGGTACCACTCTCATAGGCTAGCATTCCTCATTTGTGCATTTCAAGGAGCACAGCCACTTACTCCAACTATCTTCAGTAGCAACTTCACCTAACTTACCACAGTCCAGAGTCCTGCCCCAGCTGAAGATTGCAAATAGTAGAACTGGCTGGGCAAGGAATATATCCTGTGACCAGAGCCCATCACAGTATCAGCCAGCAGCACATCCTACTAGAGAATTCACAGCAACTCTACCTATCCAGGATTGCCAACTAGCTGAACTACCAGAATCACTCACTGGATAGGTCTAATAGTAAAGGTTTAACCCTGCTGAAGAAAGGCCAGAGAGGGAGATGCCTCCTCCAATCCACACAAAGCAACGTGAGGACACAAGAATTACAACTAATCAGGGAATCATTAAGATTAAACAGAACAAAAAAACCCTCAAAATTAATAGACTCCAATCTTAGGCCCTAAAGAAAAAAGATCTATGAAATGAAAGAAAAAGAATTTAGAATAATCCCTTAAGGTAGTTCAGTGGATCCCAAAATCATACAGACAGAAAATTAAATGAAACTTGGAAAACAACACATTAAAAAGCGAGAAGTTTGACAAAGAAATAGAAACAACAATAAAGAACCAAACCGAAATCCTAAAAATGAAGAATACAATGATTGAACTAAAAAACTCAAGAAAAACCCACAACAGTGAACTCCACCAAGCAGAATAATGAACCAGTGAGCTTGGATGCAGAACTGCGAAATTATCCAGTCAGACGAACAGAAAGACAAAAAATTGAAAAAGAGTGATGAAAGCGTATACGAATTACAGGAGATCATGAAGAGATCAAACTTTCACATAATGTAAGTTGCAGAAGGAGAAGAAAGGGCACAAAGGCCTTTACAGCCTCTTGGAGCCTCTTGGGCCTGTGTGGCCTGACATAGCCAAGATTCAAAGGTGTCATTTTCTGCATTCCATTCTCGTCTCTAGCACTCTCCTCTGCAATTACCAGCTGCTGATCTGAATTCTTGTTATGCGCTGTGATATAGGTAGTGTCATCAGGCAGAAAGTCAGGGCAATCACAGTACTCCTGACATTTCTTTCAGGCAACCATACACTGTGCGGTCTGCTGTCCAACGTCTGAGAAAAGCTGATATACACACTTAGTCCAGGTTGTACTGAGAAGATAAACCCAGTTCTTGCTAACTTCATCATGGCTATACACAGATGCTATTTTACATAAAAGGAACCAGTCAGGAATATGCCAGAAGAGTACTGGTAGCTCATAATAAATTTTATTTCCCTGGGATCCAAGAAAAAGCTGTTACTACCCACCTACTGCTTGATTTTATATTTTAAGTTAAACATTTATGTACCAAGACAGACAACCAAATATCACAGTATCACAGTATTTTAGCTAGCTTTACTAGTTTCTCAATTGGGCAAATGATGAAAGATAATAAAAGAAAGAAAGAGGAAGTTAACAGGCTAGACAAAAAGAAAAAAAGACTACTTCATCATTTGCAATACCATCTGTCATAGTCTTTCCTTCTCCTAAACAATATGCTGATGCTATACCAATGATTATCAAACATTTTATCGGAACCCACTCAGAGTAAGTTCATAAATGCACTACTTCTGACTACTTCCATGAAAATCATCCTAGACAAAGCCTCACTGGATTATGACAACCGTTTTCCAAGTGTTCTCCTCACTTCTGCCATCATTAAAGCCTGTGGGCTCATCTCAGAAGGTAAATCATAATATTCTTGCCAACATCATCATGAGATAGACAAATGCAAGTTGAGACATTTTATAAAAGAACTGGCCAGAGCTCATCAAAAGTTCATGACAAGAAGACACCGAGGAGCCTTCAGAAACAGGAGGAAACTGAGGATGCAGAACCAGCAAATGCAATGTAGGATCAAATGGGTTCTGGAACAGGAAGATGACTTTAATGGGAAAACTGGAAATCTAAATAAAGTCTACAGTTTAGAGTAGTAGCCTGGGGGCGGGGATTTAGCTCAGTGGTTTCGCCGCGCCTGCTGCGCGAGCGCAAGGACCCAAGTTCTATGCCTGGCACCAAAAAAAAAAAGTAGAGTAGTAGCCTGTGTTAATTTCCTGGTTGTGATAACTGTATTACAGCTGCATAAGCTGTTAGCTTCACAGCAAGCAGAGTGCAACTTTTCTTTGCAATTTTTCTCTAAATCTAAAATTATTTCAAAATAAAAAGGTGCTTTTAGAGTGCTTTTAAAAAATAGTAATACAAGTGTCTTCTCTACTTAAAACACTGAAATCACTTTCTAGTGTAACTAGAGCACGGTTTGGCAAAACAACACTGCCTGTTATTCAAAACTAAAACTTTACTAGACCACAACCCCACCCATTCACTTATTATTATCCAGGGCTGTTTACAAGCTAAAATAGCAGGGATGGAACAGCCTGTGAAGTCTAAAATGTTTACCACTGGGCCTTTAAAAACATACTATCTTCCTTGACTTAGAGCAAAAGCAAAGTTCTTCCAGTCACCCATTGTGCCCCACATGATCTTGCTTACCTTCTCTGCCTGCCTCCACTCCTGAGCCCCACACCAACTCTGCTCAGAAACCGATGACTTTCTGTGCAATTCTGTAAACTGTGCCCAGCAATGTGCTCCCCCAGGGCCTTTGCATACACAGCTTCTCAGCATTTACTGCCCACTCTGCACCCTTCACGCCCCTGCCCAAATGTCTAACACACCCCTCTGGTCAGCGTGTATGCCTTTTCTGTCTTACCCAATTAATCCTCCACAGAGCTTACTACTATCTAACATACTACATATTGGAAGGTTTTTTTGCCAT